GTACAAAGGAGGTAGAAAATTTGTAAAATACTAATGACCAAAAACCTATGAAGATGTCCAAACTCAGTAGTAACCAAGGAAATGTAAATATATAAATGATGTATCACTTTTCACCCAGAGATTGGCTAAGATTTAAAAGAATAAAACAGGTATTACTTGAAGTAAACAAAGATGTGTTCTTGCAACTTAAAAACTTGTTCATCAAAAGCAACTTTCTTACAAGAGATAATGATGCAATGGGAATTTCAGTCACACTTGGGAAAGAGTACAATCTATATTATTAAAATGACTATAAACTTCCTATAAAACAAAGAACCCTAAAAGGACTAGCACTGAAGGCTGACAGTCGTAGACTGACACGCGTGTGGGAAAGCATCACCAAGGTGGAAGACACAGTCACTCACGTTATATGATAAAGCGTTGGAGATTATTCTTCCCCAACAGTAAAAAACGGTCAGCTGGGAGTATTTTTTTTAGGTTTTTCCCTTCTATTCTTCCAAATAGGAGTCAATGATTAGCATACGCTGGATACATTACAAGCGGATTAACAAGTAAACTTTGCACAACAGATTAAAGGCTAAAGATCACAGAAATGTTGAGGGTAGAGGGAAGCTCTGTGAGGCCCTTTGCTGGGTGGGGAAGAACTGATGAATAGACAGCACAATGTGAAAACGCCTGGGTAGACTGTGGCGGCCTGCGAACAGTAGTGAACAGGCGAACAACTCTTAATATAATATAAAGTGTCTTAATATAGAGATGGCCATGTGTTTGAGTGAAGAATTGACCAGGATGTGGGGAAACTTTTGGGAAGACAATCGGGCAATATGCCACTAATGCCTTTTAAAAGTCCATACACTTTGACACAATTATTCAACTTGTAAATTGAATGAAAAATAAATTCAAGTATTAATTGCAGTATTGTTTTTAATGGTAAGAAATAAGGAACAACTTAATGTACGTCAACAGAAGACTGGTTAAATATGTTATGACAATCCAAACAGCAAATACAATATATCTATTAAAATAATGTTATATATGTAAAAGATGTTTATAGTATATTGTGGAAAAATTACAGGGCTTTTTAGAATTCTATATTCAAAACACACACTCAAATATATATATCCACCCCAAAGTGTTGATACTGGTTTTCTTAGAACTGTGGGAGAATGGATGATTTTAATTTTCTTTTTGCTTATTATGTCTCTTTTCTAGTTTTCACTCAAAGAAATCATGTATTTCTCACAAACTGTTTTTAACATTAACACACACTTTTATATGCTAAAAAGATAATTACAGAAATTAAAGGGGCAAACTGGGAAGTGTGCAAAAACTTGACCAAGGGCTAATATATTTACTATTTAAACAACCTAAAGTTATATTTACTATTAAAGAACTTAATTCAGTCACAAGAAAAACACTAAGATTCCAATAATTAATGAACAAAGCAAAGAATTAAGAGGAAACAAACATATAGAAAAATAGTCTCAATAATCAAGTGCAAAATAAGACAACATGCTTATCCTTTTATTAAAGTGGCAAGTTTTTTTAAAAAAATACACAATATTAATTAAATATGGAATAATAGGCATTCTCAAATCCCATCACACTATTTAATCCAGTAGTTTCACTTCTAGGAGTCTAGCCAAAAGAAATACTCCTAACTATGAAAAAAGTGTTCAGTGAAAGATGTACATCACAATGTTTTTTTTTTTTTATTTTTCCCCCAAAGTCCCAGTAGATAGTTGTATGTCACAGTTGTACATCCTTCTAGTTGCTGTATGTGGGATGCGGCCTCAGCATGGCCAGAGAAGTGGTGTGTCGGTGCACGCCCAGGATCCGAACCCAGGCTGCCAGCAGCGGAGCGCGCGCACTTAACCACTAAGCCACGGGGCCAGCCCTCACAATGTTCTTTGTACAAGAAAATAATGGAACTACAGTAGAATATTATATGGAGACGTAAACACTAGAAGCATCCACTGGAACTGTTTCAAAAAGATTGCATCCATTTTGATATAGAATGCTTTGCTAGACTGTAAGGAATGTCGTGATGTGATTAACTAGTCACTTAGGCAGCCAAACTCATAGAATCAAAAAAGATTGGTAATGGTCATAAGGAAAACATTCAAAAGGACTGTCAGAGGCTATTTTATGTTGTGAAAATCTTATTCTTTTCATGGGACAAAGGTTATTTACTAGCAAAAGGGGGACATTTCAGATAAAAAGGCCAGAAAAGATCAAGATGACACAGATTTTTTCCAAAAAAGCTGTTGTACCATTTACTATTTCAATGTCTGCAGATGCTTATAACAGACTCTGGTATGTTCCTGACATTCCTAGATGCAGATCCACACAGATTTCAAATAAATAAAATTTCTACATATTTATTTGCACTGCCTAACGCTTTAAGGCCATTTCTAAGGAAATAAATCTGATTTCTACTATAAGAACTAATAAGAAAAACATAGTTACACCTTGACACCCTTTTGAAATAAGGCAGAATTAAATTAGATAGTACGCTGCAATCACATATGTAAGAAAAACCTATCCATAGAGAGAACAAACCCACAAAAATGTTAACAGTTCATTCATTCATCCATTAGTCAATACATATAAATTGAACACCTGTTACATACGAGGCACTGTGCTCAGCACTGAGAGATACAAATCAGTAAACACTACACTCATGGTCACTGGCGCCCTGGAGCTTACATTCAAGTGGAGGGGAGAAAGATAATATTCAAATAAGCATGGTGGGGGGACTCCTCTGCCCCAACTTTTTTTCTTCATTTTTCTTCTGGTTTCTTCTGTATCAACCATTTTCATGAATGTTCACTTTAATAATACTCGTGTTAAATAACGACTGTTCTCACATTTTAAGACAAATGAATCACACAACTGGTCGCTATTTATCAGGTCCATGTCCAATTCAAATATCCAGAAGTAACAGATAGAAAACTCTCTATGAATTGACCACATTCCATAAAAAGGTTCCTTGAGAAGATCAGGACAATCTTTTGGTCATCTGCATAATGCAACTGTCATATCTTCCCAATTGCCCTGGCAGATCCCAGTCCAGGCCAGTTAACAGAACTACCATCACCAAATCTGCACACATTCGGAGAATAAATCAGAATAAAAACACGGACAACACAGACGTGTGAATTGTAATTATAATTAACCCTTTCTAAAAGAAAAGGTATATGTAATAGTACATAATAGAGTAACAATTTAACTCCTCTTTATTTTGTTCCTTTTTACTCAAAGCATAAAGCAGAGACAATACTTTATCCCAGGTTAACATGCAACTTAAAAAAAAAAAAGTTAAGGTACATATTAAACATGGAAATTCACCAGTAAATTTTATTTGTCATTTTCCCCAAACATATCTCAACATTACTCCTTTATTTCATTATAAACAAGGTCCTACTACTGACCAATGCCTTACATTTCTGGAGCTTGACACTTCAGTCTGTTATGGACACAGGAACATTGTCACAAGTATAATGAAGTAACACACCTGCAAAGCAGCTGACTGCACTGCTTCACAGGTGGAGAGGTCTCTCCTTCAGTCTGCCACTCCCTCCCAACCTCGGCACAAATATCCCCCAGCCATCCAGGAAGTTATCTTGTCAAGAAGCCCCTGGAGCTTCACTTCCCTAGAGATCTAAGACACCAGCACTGAGGAAATACAGAAGTACTCAAGTGCTCTAAGATCCTCACTTTTTGGAAAATTCCTTGAGCGCGACATTTTCCTAGGATACAGAGAAACACAAGTTCATAAAATCATAAAGAGATAAGACAAATTTTCCACCTCTTCTTGTATACAAAGCTTGAGTCAAAACTTTTTATCATATTAGAAATTCCAATACAAAAACCTAAAACTTTTCAAAAGGGTTTCTAACTTCTTTGTTATATTAAATGCAGCTTCAATTATGTCAATATACACAGAGCTCAATTTGGGAGGGGGAGTTATACAAAGAGACTAATTGGAACACATTTTCATCTAGGCTTTTCTAGGAAAATACAATAAGCAAAAAAGGTTAATATCTACGAGAAGAATTCGTCATATTTAAAATCAATACTATTAGTAAAATGTATTTTAAGCACAAATTAAAATTCGTATACATTTTTCTCATCTCTAGCAACCAAAAGAACCCTCATTAGACATAACTATAGCTTCCTCCTCAAAGTGTTATCTTGAACATTAACCCAGAAAATATCTTTAAAAGTGCTCTGCAGGTATCACCTCCTCTCAAGGAACCACAGAGGGACAAAATGTAAGAAAATGCTACTCCAATTCAAAGGACTAGTTTCAAGCAAAAATAATTAGAGGAATTCTGTATACCAATGTAAGAAGTTTTGGGGAAGAAAACAGTATACGTTACAATAATTTAAAATCACATACACATTTCACTTTCCATGCTAGGTGATTTAAATATGACCATAATGTAATTGTAAATCACTGAAAACATAGTCAAGTCTTTGCCCCCACAGTTTACACTCACTCTATGGTCAGAAAAAAAAAAAAAAAAACAATATATGAGAAACATAATAGAGTTCCATCAAATATTTTGGTTTATAAGTAGAATCTGAATAAAGAGGAAGGATTTTGGCATGTGCACAAACGAAATGGCTCAAGACCTAAATGCTATGACTCAAAATTACAAACCACTAAGTATGGGGAGAATTAAGAGGCTAGTCTCATACAAGCAGTAACCTTTTACTACGGTTTTAAAACACAATATTATTTTCTGTGTGTTAAAACTATTTTAAAAGACAGAAATAGAGTTCAGTATTCTAGTCTCTGCATTAACTAACGCCAGGGTCATGGAATATCTGCATCAGGAAAGAGAAAAAAATGGTTTGGTTCCTGCTTCTTTAAACTACGGTTTGTTGAGGGTTATGATGGGTATTTTCAATTCCAAGGCTTTTTACTCAAAGCACAAATCATGACTTAGAGACCCTCAGGGCTGTGTCATCAGTAAGCCAAGCACATATAATACCATAGAAAATACATATAATTTATTAGATGGACTTCAAAATCAACAGAAATCAGTTTTAGGCACTTCTTGAGTACAGACTATGGGAATTTTCCACCAAAGAACAGCACATCTAGCAGGCAAGACCATAAAGATTTAAACTTCAGTTTTTAGAACAATACACAAGGACTAGATACTCGATAAGAAATATTGCATAATTAACCCAACCGTATCCTGTTACAATTTCTTCACAATTCCACACACAATTTTAGGGTTTAATAGAAGCAGTCACTTTACAGCATCCAAAGTTTTTAAATTCCTTCCTTCTTTTATTCCACCATTATGGTCTTAAAATTGTCATACATTCTAGGGAGCACGATATTGAAGTTTTATTTTTGTATAAGTGGAACTTTAAAGTATTTTCCATATTATGTCTGCATCTACACAGAGTCAACACACCGTGGCTGATGATTTTGATGTCTTTTAAAGCCCATTTCATCAGGTTTATTTTGTAAAGACAGGCTTCTCATTACTAATTCCTTTAGACATCTAATATTTATCTTTGTCCTATAAGTAAACATGAGGAAAAAAACAGAATGTGGGCTATGGTTTTAAGGATGTAAGGACGTCTTCAGGTTAAACACTACATATAAATTTAGTTTGTCATCTTTTTCCAACTCAAATCGTTTGTACTGGTATTTTCTAAAACATAACCCATTTTTGGCAGTGGAAGATAATACACATATAACTTAATCCCTTCCACACCTAACTAGTAGCTTGAGGAGTTGGCAGAGTCTAGGCAGTCTCTTATCTTTCTAAATCTACCTTTCAGCACATGAAGCTAAAATTAAGAAGCATTAAAATGTTAAATACAGTATAATTTAAATGAGTCTACTACTGGCACTTATATGCTATATATACAGCAAGCCAGTCTTTTGATGTATTCACCAACTCTGACAACACACTAATAAGCAAAGCACAAATCAATGAATCAAGCCAGTGGTAGGGGAATAGAAGAGAACTAGAGAACCTACTAAGAAACTAGTGGTTTGGGGAACAATGTATATAGGCGAAGTTTAGAATACCTCCAGGACCGAGATAACACATCTTCATTGATGGTGAAGAAGATACAGGACAGCGAAGGATGGCTGAGCTATGGCCAAGCTGATTCTGAAGCAAGAAGTTCCAGATTAAATTTGAACAGTAGGAGGTGTCAAAATTAACTCATCCAAAGAAATTTTGTCTCTATCCAGCCTTGAAAGAGGGGTTGATGCCAGGACACAACTGAGAGAAGATGACCTCCAAGTCTACAGATAATCTGGGGCACATGCGCTACTATTCCCTACGTACAAAGTAGAACACACTACAGATATATTCCCAAAAATGCCTGCAGAGAAAACTAGAAAGTTGTCTACAGCTTTTCTATTTACACTAACATAAACAGATTTTGAGGTTGTCTGTACTGTATGTGGTTGCTGTAGTAACAGCAAGAAATGTAAAGTGCCTATAAGAGAGAGGACAATAGAATCCCATTTCTAGGCATCTTAATACTACACACTCAGACAAAAAAAAAGAACATCTCAGGGACTTCCTGCCTTTCCTCAAGCTCGTTGCATTTCTCTGTAATCTCACTGTAACTACCTACTAGGCACTTCTTAAAGGCCAGAAATCAGGGACTCTTCTATTTCATGCCGCACTTCTAAAATCACTTTAACTACCTGCATTAAAAATGCCAGCCAGCAGTGCTAAAGCACTTCTTTATTCTTAAGGCAAAATGTCATATTCCCTACCCACTTCCCCCTGCCCCTCAAACTACCTGCCTTCATTGTATTCCTTGCCCATTGTGAGAGTCAAAGATAATAGAGAGAACTGAAAATTTCAAACAAAAATCCTCAATATAATGTGTGAGATATACTTTATAAATGCTATCATGACAAAATTAAACATATTTAAATCCATATAGCATATGGTTACTTTTACCAAGATATCAAGAGAAGTTATGACTTTCAAAATTAGTATCAAACACAGGATATTTATATCCAGCCACATGTACAGAAGTATGAAGTTTTGTTCTTTTCAAAGCTGAGCACAACGACCCTGAATAAGATGATTGTTTACACCCAAAAGTAGCATATTAAAAAACCAAAAGCATTGCCCTTTGCTTAATTCCACTTAAACTACATATAAATTGCCAATATGACTATTCATGAGTCTCTCCATCTTATTTGGAAGTAATACTGTTAATATGATTTTGACGTATCTTCATACATGAATTTAAATTTTTTTCCCTGTTGTAATTTTGGTTTTATGCACAAGTATATAAGTACCACCTTATTTCTAATGCTTAGCCAAGAAAGGTAGAATATAACAAAAAAAAAAAAAATCACGTCTTATAAATGTGGTATAAGATTTCATGCATTCTCACGATGCCATGTCAATAATCTACTACACTAAACCAACTGTAACAATGTAGTGCATGCTTTAAACATCCAATTAAGAGTAAATTTTAGCCAACACCTTGATGACAAGGGAATGTGCTGGTATACTGTTGAACCAATGTGGCAGTAATCCAAGGGACTAAACCATGATTACTCAAATTAAAAGATAAAAAGGATAAAAGGAGTGGATTTGCCGGGCTACTTTATAGAATATTTGTCCCTGATGAAACTGCAACATCTACAAAATGGATTTGGGGTTTTAAGGGAGTTTTTAAGATACAACAAGTAATTCCTCATAGTGATTTGAAAAAGTATGAGAACATATGAACAAAGCTTAGTAATTTAGGATTTACTTTTGTAAAAGCAAGCTGACAAATATTAAAATGCTATGCTTGCATTTTGAACATTATAATATAAATATAAAACACAAAACATCCAACGTTAAACACTGATCTCCCATGCCTGGCTTGGGTTTAGATATTGACAATTTTATAGAAAGAAACCTCCAAAGTTTTGTCAATGCTTATAGTATGTACTATTATTTCTCATCAAAATCTTCATGAAATCTAAAAGGCTAGTATTTAAAGGAGTTATTTTTTTCCTTGAATATTCCAAAACATGCCAGTTTGGATTACTTTTCAGATATTCAGGGCATGAAAGATACAGAGAGTACCCAAGAATGTTTTAGCACACTTAGGATAAGTTTATAGTTACAACAGAAATACCTTCGACTTTCAGATATTGAAAAAAAAAAATACGCTAAGCAAATATAAAAGGTCTTTCAGGCCAAGTTACTTCTTAGTAAAAACAATACATCATGTCAATCATTTTTTAAACAAAATTCTTAAAAGCATTAAAAAGAATTTGTATAATTGTCAACCAATGCATTCACGTGATGTAAGAGAAAACTTACAGAAACAAAAAAAACTCAAACTATTTCAACTGCTAAGATAAGAAATAAGAAATTTTCAAATTAAGAAATTATCTTTGTTGCTTAGAAAATATACTTTACTTTTCATCTCAAAGTCACCTTAAATGCTTGACACATAATTTAATACCTAAGAAGACTTGAGCTAAATTATTTGATAATATTTATAAGGTGATACTTCTCTGGAGAGACATATTTCACACAAAAGTTTTCAATTAATGCTGACAAAAAAAAATCACTTGATAATTTTAATCACACTTAATGACTGACTGATTAATGGATTAACAATTTACTCAGCAATTTAGATGGCATAAGCTCCAATAAAGGGAACAATCTGATAATTGCTCAGTGTGCAACTCTGCCCCTTAGTAATACTAAGCCAAGAATGTGAAAGATATTCCATTCAGTTGGCTTATGTGTCTCCATGTATGTGATTTGATCAACAAAAAAATAGGTACACAACATCAAGCTTTTTCCTTGTTTTTTTTTTAAAGAGCAGCTCAATGATTTCTAGGATTGGTTAGTGTTGGTTAGCACAATACAGAGAACGTAGAGGAAAAGTACAAAATAGCACTTAACACCAATGCCAGTACTCACCTCATTATGGTTATAACTAAGGATATTACTAACTTTTGTGTTACTCGCTTTTCTGTAGAACGTAAATCAAAGCCATTAACTTAAGCCTGCGGTATATACACAATACATACACAACGTTACGCAAAATACTTTCAATAAGTAACATTACATTTTAAAATATTGGAAACTGAATATCTGCGATTTGTATTTTGACAATGGAACATGAAGAGAACAACATTCAACAGGGAGGGTTATACTGATAATAAAGCTCTTAAAGTTAAAAATGTCTTCCTCTCCCTTTGTACTTACCACAAGCTACACAATGTCCTGAGAGGATTCATTATGAGAATAAAGTCAATCACAGCTTTAAGACCTTGCTTTGGAAGGAACTAATGAGAAAGCAGATTGGAAGGTGAGACTTCATCTTTGTTTCCAAATAAGTGGTCTTAATTTTTCTTCTAATAGAAAAAGTTTAAATCAGTTTATTATAAATATATCTAAACGATTAATTTTTGCAGCTTTCAGGTAAAGTCCAGCAATTCGTTTATACAAAATCTATGAGAAGAGGTCAGTAGAGATCATCTAATCTTAAGTCGTGACATCATCCATTCAAGTCCTTGGCATAATCTATAAAGAAAATAAAATCACTTGATTAATTTCTCAACTAAAAAGGTATGAACTGCAAACTAAAAGAAGATATCATTTTTCATTTACCTAAGCAACAAAAGATTAAAAAATCAATAATATTCAATGTTGGTGCTGTTACAGTGAAGCCATACTCTCATACACAGTACAGGAGTGGTTTTTTGGTTGTGTTATCCCTCTAGTGACTAGAAGACTGCCTGACACATAAAAGGAGTTCAGTAATTATACAGTGAGTGCCCATAGAAAGTAATTTAGCAATACATATCAAAAATATTTAAAATACCAATACCAAGACAAACACCAATACTCTACCCTTTCTTCTGCTTCTAGAAACATATCCTAAAAAAAGTAATCAGAGATAAAGACACATTTATATATGACTGTTCATCAAAGCATTTTTAATAGGAAAAAGTAAAATTTAAATGTCTACAAATAGAGAAAAAATTTAACATATTATGGAACATTCATATGATGAGATATTAAAAACTTCCTTTCAAAAACTATTTTACAGGGCTGGCCCCGTGGCTTAGCGGTTAAGAGCGCGCTCTGCTGCTGGCGGCCCAGGTTCAGATCCTGGGTGCGCACTGACGCACCGCTTCTCCGGCCATGCTGAGGCCATGTCCCACATACATCAACTAGAAGGATGTGCAGCTATGACATACAACTATCTACTGGGGCTTTGGGGGGAAAATAAATAAATAAATAAAATCTTTTAATAAATAAATAAATGAGACAGTAGAGTCAGAGAGATTAAGTAATCTTCCTAGTAAATGCTGTTAGACAACTTGCAAAACTGCCTCATTCGTGTAACACACGAGCTGCATATATGTAGCAG